ATCCTAGTGTTTTTGTTTTCTATTTCAATTTCTGCTCTTCATGATTATCTTCTTTCCACTTTCTTTGGGTTGACACTATTACTCCTTTTAAAAATTCTTTAGGGGCACCTGGGTGGCTCAGTCGGTTAAGCATCCCAGTCTTGATTTCAGCTCAGGTCATGATCGGGGTCATGAAATCAGCCCGAGTAAGTCTCTGCACTCAGTGGGGAGTCTGCTGGAGATTCTCTCTCTCCCTCTGCCCCTACACCCCACACTCTCTCTAATTTGAGAGAGTGTGTGTGCACACAAGCAGGGGGAGGGGGAGAGAGGGGGAGAGGGAAGGAGGTAGGGAGGGGGGGAGAGAGAATGAATCTCCAGCAGACTCCCAGCTGAGTGCAGAGCCCAACATGGGGCTCAGTAGCAAGCCCCTGAGATCATGACCTGGGCTGAAACCATGAGTCAGCTGCTCAACCAACTGAGCCACCCAGGTGCCCCTCTAATAAAGAAATCATTTTTTTTTTTTAGATTTTATTTATTTGAGTGTGCAAGCAGGAGGTGGGGCAGAGGGAGAATTGCAAGCAGACTCTGCACCCAGTGTGGAGCTCCATCCCATGACCCCAAGATCATGACCTGAGCAGAAATCAAGAGCTAGACGCTTAACTGACTGAACCACCCGGGTGCCCCTGATAAATAAATCTTACAGAAAATTTACAAGCAGAGTGTTAAATTTTTTTTATTTCTTACCTACTATAATAAGGCTATAAATCTGCCAAATGATGCTTTAGTTGCCTTCCCCCTACCATGAGTTTTTATATGTATTCTCATTTTTTTTTATCTAAATAGTTTTCATTTCTACAGAATTTCTTTGAGTAAAAAGCTTTTTAGATGTTTAAACGTCCAAACATTTGGGGTTTACTTGGCTCGGTCTGTGGTCACAGAAATATGGTCTCCATGAAATGGACGGGCTATTTGATACCTTTGAGATTTATCTTGGGGCCATTTTTAGGTCATTTTTTTGGTAAATGTTTCTTGTGTGCTTAAAAGTAACAATATTGAGTTCACGGTTCTATCAGGGTTCATTAATATCTTCTATATCCTTTTTTTGGCTGTTGGGTCAATCAGTTACTGAAAAAGGTCTTAAATCTCTCACTGTGATGGAAGATCTGGCAATTTCTCCTTGTATCCTATCACTTTCGTTTTATACATTTTCAGCCTTTTAAACCTCTAACTTGTATATTTTACATGAGTTGTTCTGTCTTCCTAAAAGTTGTACTTTTCATCATTTTGTGGTCACCCTCTTTATCTCTAATAATGTCTTTTTTTTTTTTTTTAAAGATTTATTTATCTGACAGAGTGCATAAGCAGGGGGAGCAGCAGAGGGAGAGAGAGAAGCAGGCTTCCTGCTGAGCAGGGAGCCCGATGTGGGGCTCCATCCCAGGACCCTGGGGTCACGACCTGAGCCGAAGGCAGACGCTCAACCAACTGAGCCACCCAGGCGCCCTCTAATAATGTCTTTTGTCTTAAAGCCTATTTTGTCTGATTTTGCTATAGATACACCTTCTGGTTAGCTTTTCTCTAGTATACCTTTTCCCATCATTTTACTGTTGGTGCACTTATGTTTTTCTTATTTTAAAGATTTTATTTCTTTGACAGAGCACAAGCAGGGGGAGTGGCAGGCAGAGGCAGAGAGAGAAGCAGGCTCCCTGTAGAGCAAGGGAAGCCCGATGTGGGACTTGATCCCAGGACCCCAGGATCATGACCTGAGCCGAAGGTAGTCGCTTAACCAACTACTGAGCCACCCAGGCGCCTGGTGCACTTACATTTTAAATGTCCTCTGGTAAACAGCATGTAGAGCTGCATTTTATTTTCCTTGGCCAGTCTGATCATCTGTTTTAATAGGTGAATGTAAAACCTTTTTTTACCTCTGGTTTTTGTATCCTATACCATTCTTTACTACCTTTTTCTCCTTTCTGCATTGGCAGTTACACTTTCCATTTTTTAAAAAATATTTATTCATCCGACAGCACACAAGCAGGGGCAGTGGCAGGCAGAAGGAGAGGGAGAAGCAGACTCCCCACCGAGTGGGGAGCCCCACGCGGGTCTCGATCCCAGGACTCTGGGATCATGACCTGAGCCAAAGGCAGACATTTAACCAACTGAGCCACCCAGGCGCCCCTATACTTTCCATTCTTTTAATGATCCCTCATAAGTGTCTGAAACACACACTTGGATATACAAAGCTGGACAATTACCAGTATCTTTATCCTGCTCCCCTTAAATAAGAGCACTTGAACTGATTACCCTCCTCAGTCTGACATGTTGCTGTGTCCTCTCATTTTGTACTCCACAAATTGGATCATCACTGTTCATGTTCCATGGTGTTTTAGATCTACTTACATGTTTACCAGTCGAGCTGCTCACCATTTTCCAATCTTCTTAGAGTTCTGCAAATTCATTACAAAGTGCCAAGATGCTACTTTTGTTTATCCTGCTCTGGATTTTATGTGAGGATCCTGGTCTTTAATCAAGTTTGGAAGCTCTTCAGGAACTGCCTCTCCCACTTTTTTTTTCCCTCCTGGAATTCTGACGGATCTGTCCTTTCACCTTTTACATTGTCCATCACCTTGTTTCTCTGGTGAGTAGCTTCTGCTCTCTCCACCAGCTCAGTGACTTACCTTCTGCTGTGTCTAATCTACTTTCTGGTCTCATCCTTTGAGACCTGAATTTCAATGGTTTTTCTAATTCTAGAAATTCCTTTTAAAACCTGTGATTCTTTTTAGCATCTCGCTCTTTCTTGTTTTAATCCCCCCCCCCCACACACCCTAGCTTTTTTTCCTGTAACCATGAGCTCCACGAAGGTGGGGAGGTCTTTAGGTTCGCACCATCTCTGGAAGGGAACAGACTCGGAGTGTGCTGTGGGATGACTTAGCACCAGTGGGAACGGAGACCGCTGAGCCCCAGACTGGCCTGTGCGCAGCGAGTCAGCCCTCCCAACTGCCCGCAGCCCCGCCAGTCTCTCAGCCCCGGCCTCGGGGGAGAGGGACCGGGAGCCCATGACGTCACGGGACTGTGACGCGCCGGGGAGCCCCGCCCCTTCGCGGCGCTTGCCCGGAGTCCAGCTCTCTGCGCCGTGACGTCACGGGTCCGGGCGGGCGGGTTTTGCGTCGGCCCAATGGGAGCGGCGCGCCGGCCTCCCCTTTAAGGAATGTTGTGACCTGACGTCACCCGGGCGAGTTACCTCCCCGAGCCACCGCCGCCAGGCTCAGCTCACAGCCCCGGAGCCCTTGAGCGCGGCGGAGCCCCCGAACCTCAGAGCCCCCAGCCGCGCGCCCCGGAGCCCCGGCCTGCGCGCCCCGCCGGGCTCGCGCGATGCCCTCAGACCGGCCTTTCAAGCAGCGGCGGACCTTCGGTGAGGCCCGGCGGGTGGTCAGCGGGCGCGGGGTGGGGGCGCCGCGACTGACCCGGACTGCCGCAGGCGACGTCAGCCCCGTGACGTCAGACTCGGGCTAGAGCCCCGGGCCGGGAGGCAGGTTCAGGCCTGGGCCGGGGCCTCGCCTCGGAGCCCGGCGGGTGCCAGGCCCTGGGGCCTGACGGCCCTGGGGGCGGGGGCTCGGGGGGGCGGGGCCGGAGACAGGCGGGGCGAACGGCGAGCGGGACCTCTCTCGCCTCACTGCCCGCCCACTGTCCGCAGCCGACCGCTGTAAGGAGGTGCAGCAGATCCGCGACCAGCACCCCAGCAAGATCCCGGTGAGTCCCGCCGCCCCCTCCCATCCCCGCGGCCCCCGGCCCCGCCCGGCTCACGCATCCCCCGCCCCACCCCTAGGTGATCATCGAGCGCTACAAGGGTGAGAAGCAGCTGCCGGTCCTGGACAAGACCAAGTTCCTGGTCCCAGACCATGTCAACATGAGCGAGTTGGTCAAGATCATCCGGTGTGTGGGCAGCAGCAGTCAGAGGGGGCTCGGGTCCTTTTGGGGATGGCGGGGCCCTCGCAGGGCCGGGCCTTGAATCCCTGTTTTGGGGAGGTTGGGAAAGGTCAAGGTCGGGGCTGGGGTCAGTGGCAGGTCAGAGGTGAGGGCTTATAGAAGGGCCTGGGATGGGTGTGAAGCTGCCTCAGAATCCTTTTGGAGAGGGAGGTGGGGGGTCAGGGCTCCACCCACCCAGCAGCCAGGCCCCCTCACTGTAGGCTTGCTCTTCTGCCCACCCCAGGCGCCGCCTGCAGCTGAACCCCACGCAGGCCTTCTTCCTGCTGGTGAACCAGCACAGCATGGTGAGCGTGTCCACACCCATTGCGGACATCTATGAGCAGGAGAAGGACGATGATGGCTTCCTCTACATGGTCTACGCCTCCCAGGAAACCTTCGGCTTCTGAGCCAGCAGTAGGGGGGGAGGGGGTTGGCCTGGACATGGGCGGGGGGGTGGCGGTTAGGGCCCTGTCAGGCTCTGCCCAGGGAGCTCCTGGCTCCTGAACTGAACTGCCTCTGCCCGAGATGGGCTAGGCAGGGATGCTGCCCCCCCCAGCCAGGGGGCACCAACCACACCTACTCTGCCCCTGGGTGGATCCTGGGCCATTGTTAGGGTTGTCCCCATGGGTGCTGGCTGGGATGGGGGAGGGTAGGGAACAGCCCCCAGCACCCCTGCTCGGTGTGATTTGTCTTTTTTTTAGGCCCCTGCCCAACTGCCCCTCCCTCACCTGAGGCGCTGCCCCCCTGCCTGGACCTGCCCACCCCTGAAGGACTGGCCCCTGGCTCACCTGGTCTTGACATGGTGTATGGATCTGTGGTCATTGTCCCTCTGCAGAATAAAGATTGCTCAGGCCTGCCTGGCCCTTTGCCTCCAGCTGCTTGGGGTGTGGGGAGGGCTGCCAGCGGGGCTGTCTCACACCAGTCTCAGCTCGCCACGGAACAGACTTGTGTGCTGTGGACCTGGGGTTCATTCTGGAAACCCACACCAGTATGTAGTATATGGGGGTGGTGTTCAAGGCCAAGTCCACCCTTTCCAGGCATTCAGTGTGGGCCCAGGATAGATTTCATAACAAAAAACATTTATTAAGTAGCCACAACCTAACAAATCCTGCTCCCCTGCTTCTTCCCCTATCCAGCATCGGAGGGGGCTCCCTGGTCTGCAGAGCCAAAAGAGTGGGGGCCCAAGGGGAGGTGCTCCTGGCTACTCCCCACTGGCCTTGCTGCCAGCCCCAGTTCCCCTCTGGTGCCAGAGCTACGGAACCCTGGACTCAAACCTCATTTGCCTGAGGACTCCTCTGCTGGCAACTCCGGCTCGAGGGCTGGGCCCAGCTCCTGGCCCTTCCACCCCCTGAAGTCCATGCAGCCCTGGGCCCAGCCAGGCCTACTTGAGCACAAGCATGGCCTCTGTGCCGTCCTTGGCAGTCAAGTAGAGCCCATGGGTGAGGTAGTACTCGCGCCGCAGGAAGGCATAGAAGTAATCCGAGATGAGCAGGATCTGCGGGGAGAGAGGAGCTGTGAGCAGTGCTGAGGAACCTCCCCCGGAACCTTGGGTTGCTGAGGGGCTAGGCAGGTGTTGGGGAGACCCTGCAAGGTCTTGCACTTCAGAAGTTGCCTGTACTGCCCCATCCCATCCCAACCCTGTGGGTTTATGCCACCTGCCCAAGCTCTGGCCTCTGAACTCCACAATGGTATGTCTGCACCCAGAGGCCCCTCTGCCTCACTGCTTGGGTGCCCAGGGGCTCCTCCACGGTACAGCTGAGCCCCTGTCAAAGCTGCTGCTCCCTGGGAGCCCTTACCCGCCCCCCCATCTTCCTTCCGGGTGCTGAGGCCACAGAATCACCTGACACTTCCACCTGCCGGACACAAGGCTGCTAAGTCCTGGCAGTTCTATATCCCAGACTCTCTCAGATCCACCCATTTCTACTTGTCCTTAGAGCTACCACCCTGGACAAAGCCACTGTCATCTAAACAACAGCAGTCTCCTCTTTGGGCTCCCTGGTCCCAAGCCTCCCACCCCTGTAACCCTCGCCACGTCCAGTCCATTCTCCCTAGCAGCCAGAGGTTGCTTTTCAGGACAAAATCTCATCCTGTTACTTCCCAGCTGAAAGGTCCTCTAAAGGCTTCCGAGGGCTCTTAAGGTGAAGATCAAACTCCTTTGGGGCTCTGAGGCCTTGCGCCTGGTCCCTCACCCTCTCTCCTGCTCCACCTCAGCTCCAGCGACACTGGCCTCTTTCCTCCTGCTGCAGGATCTCTGCTGTTCCCTCTGCCTGGAATGTTCCCTTCCTTTTCATCCAGTCAACATCTCCTTACCCTTCAGGTCTCAGGAAAGATCCTGATTCCTTAGAGAAGCCCTCCCACACCCCCCAGATTGGGTCATGGCCCCCATTAACCTCTATTTCTTAACACAAATTCATCCAGATTAGTTTTGCTTTCATCTGTGTGACTGCCTGATGGCTGTGGCTCCTCCCCTGGACTGGGAAGGTCCCCACGGGGTTCTGCCACCCTGGTATCCATGCCCAGCTCAGTCTGCCTTTCCTGTATGGGCCACAGAATTAAAAGGGCCCTAGAAGCTCAGGCTACCATCCCCCTGGCAGAGGCCTAGAGAGGAACAAGGACTTGCGCCATCTTACAATCCCATTACATCCCAAGACCCCCAGGGTCTGGGGCAGGAGGAGGGCAGAGGGGCTCACAACCCCAGGTCTCAGCCACTCAAGCCTCTTAGACCATAGCCACCTGTTGGCACAGATGAGAAGATGGAAGCCCAGAGCAGGGGGAACACCTGGCTAGGGTCTGTAGAGCAGGTCAGAGGTTGAGCTGAATCTGGCATCTTGGCCTCTGACCCACAGAGACTCCTGTCCTGGGCAGCCTCATACCGTGGGCAGGAAGAACATGGAGGGACCTGAAGGAAGAACTGAGGACCAACACCAGGGCTGGCCTCAGGACAAGGTCCTGCCATTTTATGACCAGAGGAGCCCATCTGGAAGGCTGATGGTCTCCATCTTATAGATGAGGAAACTGAGGCACAAAGGGTTCAATAGTTGGCCTAAGGCTACACCAGGAGAGCTGGCCTAGTGGCCATGACCCTGCAAGGCGACGCACCTGGGATCCAGTCTGCCACAGGGCAGAGAACTTGCAGCTGAGGGTATCAGTGGAGTAGACAGCCCAGGGAGCCCCGGAGGCCTTACCCCACAGCTGCTGGTGGAGGGCAGGTACCAGAGCAAAGCTGACCTCACAGCCTGCAGCCCCTTTCTCACCCAGGCCCAAGGTGCCCGGTCTGCAGATGGAGAGCCTGGAGCTGCGGCTGAGTGGGTGGGGGCTGACCCCCGAACCGGGTCCGATGAGGGTCAGATACAAAATCACAATTCACAATGAAACAAAAGGAACCAACTCCAGTGTCACACACAATCAGCTGCACAAGTATTAGAAAGTCAAAATACTAGGTATTAGGTCAAACCATATGAAATAGCCATTTCTGCAGATCAAAAATGGTTGAATACTGGAAATGTCGTACAGTTCAATCTAATATAAAATGGAAAAAAAAGTCAAGAAATACAAATAGCAGAGTATGCATGGTATTTAGAAGAACCAGAGCAAATAACTCTAAGGCCATAGGGAGCTATTCTATTTCCTTATAATCTTTAACATTGTGAAGTATGTATTTGTATTACATTGACTAAAATATCAATTTAAAAAAACAGCCAATAAATGACTGAATAAATAAATAAATGAGGGAGAATTCCTTTTGGAATCCTTACAGAAAAATTCCAATAACATATGTAGACATTCCCTCCTCCAGGAGGTGGAGCTTAATTCTTGCCTGCCTCCCCCCCACCCGACCCCCTGCCTGCGGGCAGGCCAGATGCAGTAACTCACTTCCAAAGAACAGTGCAGGGAAAGAGAAAATAGTAATTCTACACTGGAGAAGCCCCAAACACTGTCTTGAACAAATGATGAAGGGTAACATCAGTATGAGATCAGGTGGCTACCATGTACTGGGCATGGTACCTGAGCATTCCAAAAATCCAAACCACAGTCTTATGATGAGAAAAGCATCAGATAAACCCAAAGTGGGGACACTCTACAGGAGACCTGGCCAGTGCTCCTCAAGACTGTCCAGATCATGAGAAATTGGGACAGAGTGAAAAAGTGGGCAGAGGACACGGGAGAGACAGAACACATTAATGTGGTCCCCTGGCTCGGATCCTGGGTGTGGGGCATATGGGAACTTTCTGTATCTAAAGTTATTCTGAAATTTAGAGTTTATTTAAGGGGCACCTGGGTGGCTCAGTCAGTTAAGCGTCTGCCTTTGGCTCAGGTCATGATCCTGGGGTCCTCGGCTCAAGTCCTGTGTCAGGCTTCCTGCTCGGTGGGGAGCCTGCTTCTCCCTCTCCCCCTGCTTGTGCTCTCTCTCTCTCAAATAAATAAAATCTTTAAAAAAAAGTTTTAAAAAAGCAGCGTACTGGGGTGCCTGGGTGGCTCAGTTGGTTAAACATCTGACTTTTGATATCAGCTCAGGTCTGGATCTCAGGGTTGTGAGTTCAAGCCCTGCACTCGGCTCCACACTGGGTGTGGAGCCTACTTTAAAAAAAAGAAAATTAAAGGAAGCGATGTACTATTGTTATTTGCAATAATATAAATGAACCTCAAAAAATATGCTGCTGAATGAAAGGCAGCTTTGGAAAATGTACATGTTAAGAGTTGTGTTTTTCGGGCACCTGGGTGGCTCAGTTGGTTAAGCGACTGCCTTCGGCTCAGGTCATGATCCTGGAGTCCCGGGGTCGAGTCCCACGTCGGGCTCCCTGCTCAGCAGGGAGTCTGCCTCTCTCTCTGACCCTCCCCCCTCTCATGCTCTCTCTATCTCATTCTCTGTCTCAAATAAGTATATAAAATCTTAAAAAAAAAAAAGAGTTGTGTTTTTCACTGTATGTAAATTTCATATAAGAAAAATGTAAGTAAGTACTGAACTCTGGTTAATGATATACATGCTGAGATGTTTAGTAGGAAAATGCAGTGATGTCTGTACTTCACTTTGAAATATATTTTAAAAATAAGATGGATTGAGGAATGGATAATTTGTGATCACAAAAGTATAGTACAACATTAATGGTACAGTCTAGGTGGTAGGTATGTGGGTGTTCAATGTTCAGTCTTTCAACTTTGCTATGTCTGTGAAATTTTCCAGGATGAAGTGTCAGGGGAGGGTGGCATGGAGGGAAAGAGCCCTGTGTGCGGGCTTGGTCCGTCTGGAACCAAAGTCACTAGTCCTGATTGAGTGCCCTGCCCCCACAGGGAAGGCATCTTGTGGACACCAGGCTGGCCTGGAGGCTTGGCTCTTTCAGAGTGATGCCCCCAGCTGGTAGCAGGCTGGCCGAGACCACCTCTTCTGACCTTGAGGCTTGCCATTTGGGCTGAGAAGGGATTTCCCAGAGGCCGGGATTCAGGCAACACAGCAGCTGTAGACCCAGAGCCCCTTTGCTCAGTCTGGGCAGCAGGAGTTGGGTGAGGGGCAGTAGAAATAGCATGGGCGAGTTAGTGGCTGTGTGACCCTATGTAAGTCACTTTCCCTACCCTAAGGTGCATCTTCTGCATCTGTAAAGTGAGTGATAAACTAGTTTACCCACAATGGTGGCTCCTAGTCCTTGCTCCATTCCTCCATGTTTTCAGAGACCTGAAGAGCAGCCCATTCTTTTTTTTTTTTTTTTTTTTTTAAGATTTATTTATTTGAGAGAGACAGACAGAGAGAGAGAGCACACAGGGAGAGGGCGAGGGAGAAGCAGACTCCTTGCTGAGCGGGAGCCCTCTGCAGGGCTCAATCCCTGGACCCTGGGATCATGATCTGAGCCGAAGGCAGACGCTTAACCAACTGAGCCACCCAGGCGCCCCGGGCAGCCCATTCTTCAAAGCTGCCCTCGAGAACTATGACTGGACTCCTTGGCCTCTCTCCTGCCATCAACCACCAAGTCCTGCCAATCTCCTTCCTCAGACTTCCAACTCAGTCTCCTTGTCTCCCTCCCACTGCCATCTCTTGCTGGAAGGCGTCCTGCATCATCCTGGCCCCTCTTGATTCCCAGTGTCTGTCTGTCTGTCTCTCTCAATCTCTCCATCTCTCTCTGGGAGTCTCTTACGGTCTCTCTCAGTCACACACACACACACACACACGCACGCACACGCGCATGAACCCTTCACTTGCCTGCTCAGAAGCCTCTAGTGCCCCACTCTGCCCTGCACCACACCCACACGCCCCAGAAGCCCTGACCGCAGCCTGGTCCCGCAAACAGTGCTTGGATGGCCACGCCTCGCCGCCTCAGCTGGGCTGGAATGGCCCTTCCCACAGACAGCTCCTACGTATCCCTAGAGCAGGATCATCTGCATCTCCTGCCCCAGAGTCTTCCCTAAGCCCATGCTCACTTATGTCACCCCTGGGATGGAGTCACTTCCTGTTGCCCCACAACCAGACGGGCTGGCATCTGCTCCGGCTCTGGGACCCTGGGCCCG